GCTTGTTGCTCTGACCACTTACACGCTTGTCAGTATCGGACCACAAGATTGCCTGCAGTGAAAAAAAAAAAAAAAACAGCCTGTTGTGAACGTTAGTAGCAATACAGCAAAAAACTATCACTAGAAAGCAGGGAAAAGACCAGTAAATTAAAAACATGGCTCTCCTCCAAACTTCTTCCCCATATTATGGCGGCCAAAAAAAACCCTAATAGGGCCTCAGTCGCGTGTAAAATGCGGACTTCCTCCGACGAACACATTGCGGCAAAACTATGATTGCTTCCGAATAACGGGCCAATATTATCTAGGGCAAACATATACTCTAGCAGTGTCTCAGCGACATGTTAATTGCGGACCTGTTTCTGCGACTAAACCGCATCGACGACAGTATCCCCCGCGCACTCACGAGCAAATAAACTGGAGGAAGTTTCAAGAGATGTGGTAGCTGCTGCTCGTGAGTCCCAGCCATCTAGTTTAGCCCTCCATCCGCGTCGCGCGTAGCGGCGCGGGGGATAATCTCGGCGGTGAGTTTAATAGGAAGAACACTATCGCTAACATGCGTCAGAGTAGGTTTGTCAACGAAATTGTTAACGGACAGTAATTCTAGTTTTGCTGCGATGTGTTCGTCAGAGGAAGTCCGCATTTTACACACGACTGAGGCCCTGTTAGGGTATTTGTTTGGGTGCCATAATATGGGGACGAAGTTCGGAGTAGAGCCAAAAACATAATTGTCCACCCCTTCATACGTAGTGGACACACAGAAAAATAATACTCTGCACAGTCTGTGGCTACAGCACTAACCATGCGGCCATCAATCCCCGGGCTCAGAAACGCCTTGTCTACACCGCCCTAAAAGCCGTATACACAGACAATAGTGACTGTTGACAGTGAAGTTAAAATAAAAACTTTTCCACGCCTTACGCGTACTGGGCACAGAGACTTAAATTGTATAGACCAATCCGTACTTGGTGGGTGATGTGATCAATATCACGCCGACCGAATGTACTTCCCAGGACTTCACTTGGTACCTATTTAAGGCTGGGTCGACTTGGGAGCCAAGGTCACATTTCGAAATATCCGTCTCCGCCTGGTCCTGAAGCACAGCCTTTTCCAGATAAGCCATGGGGCTAACGTCATCACTTGACGTGACGTCACTACCCCGGGCTAACGATACGTTCTGTTTCGAAATTGTAAATATAAAACAAAGTATCTACACACGTAAAATCTCACTTTCAGGTCATTCTAAAATAACATACGTTGATCGCTACGTCATACAGATGAGAGCGGAAGTGGGCCTAGGCCCTATCTGGAGAAAGCTGTTCCTGAACCCACAATCTTTAGATCTGCAGGCAAGTGTCTAGCCGCTACACTGTCGCGGCTCCAAGGGAAAGGAAAAAGACGCATACAAGGTCCCACAATTAAGTAATGAGACTGATTTTATTATGGCTAAGACAAAAATGCCATCTATGAATCATAGTATAGAATCCAAAGAGGCAAACTTCGTCTATGATCTGGTAACTTTTTATTGTCGCCTGATAAGCAAACAAGCCGATATTTTGTTAACCTAGTCAGAGGTGCATTGTTACGTAATCAGCATGAAGCACACACACACACACACACACACACACACACAAAAGCTAACGTGCTAAAGATTACGAAAATCTTCAGCCTTAATCTATACTATGTATACGTCCGGTGTTAACATGGTTAAATGGTCTGCGACCAACGATCCGACTTGCCCGTTGTGCAAATCAAAGCAAACTCTTGAGCACGTCCTGTCCGCGTGCAGGAAAGCCCTAGGTCAAGGCCGCTATACCTGGCGCCACAACAAGGTGCTAAAAGAGTTAGCAGCCGTTGTCGACCAGGCTAGAATGAGGGCTAATGCCAGAGCCAGTTCTAGTATCGTCCCCATTCGTTTCCTCAAGGCTGGGCAGTTTCCAAAAGGTAATGTCAACAAAAACGCATTCGCTCCATCTGTGCTAGACTCTGCGAGGGACTGGTTACTGGCGGTTGATCTGCCAGGACATGAACGGTATCCCGAGTTGATCCGTAAAACCGGCCTGCGACCGGACATCGTTCTCCATTCTGCGCAAAAACGGCAACTCATCCTGATTGAGTTGACGGTCCCGTTTGAGTCGCGGATGGAGGAGAATCATTTGTATAAGCTCGAGAAATACAGTGATTTAGCAGCCGGTTTGAGGAGAAACGAGGCTTACACAGTGCGGGTATTTGCCGTCGAAGTGGGAGCGAGAGGCCTCGTTTCCACTTCGCTCTACAATGTGGTTAAAGTTAGGATTGCGCGGTAATGAACGGAAACGGGCACTCAAAAAACTTGGTGAGGTGGCCGAAAGGGCATCCAGCTGGCTCTGGACGCAGCGCAACAACGTAGGGGACGGGCCTCGGTGAGCTGGTCCGGGTATCTAGTGGAAAAGAGTTTTTTATCCCTTTGAAAAGTCCATCGTGTACGAATTGTCTGCCAGTGTCTCTCTGCCAACTGCTAATAAAAGTCCAAGATGTGTCCGGTAAACCAAAGTAAGCTTGTCGCTCGGTCGTCCAGGCATGCGGACTGTTCTAATTACGCAGCCGTGGCGGCTTCTTATCTCACAGTACCTCCTTCGAAACCACCAAGTAGTCTTGTCTCTGGCCGAAAGTATAACACCATCCGGTAATTCTGTGCGGCGGGGAAGCAGCCCTGAGCTTCATGAACTCAGGTGGGCCCACCTCCGAATACGTTTAGGAATCGTGGGCCGAAACGTGTGTCGAAAGAGGATAATTTCTACTGATGACTGTAGATCCCCGCTGTACTTGCTCCCTGTGAGTTTATTCCTATGTAGCTGGGTTGCCAGCTCAAAATTCAGCAATTCTCTTTTTTTTTTTTTTTCGTGTGGAATTTCGCAATCTCTCCTTTCCCCAAAAGAAACAATCATATGACAGTTGTCGTAAGTACAATGAAAGTTTGGAAATGACTTTTTCACTGGTTAAAAAAAGAAGCTTCTGGTAGGTCAGAAAATGCTTATTGTATGTTAGGTCACCTACTATTTAGCATCAAGCTAGTAGCCTCGCTATTCATGAGAAGTCTGATAAACGCACACAGAGGGTTCCATGAACTGAACAGAATAAACTTAAGGTGAAGAAGAGCCTTAGACTGTCGACCACCTGAGTAAAACAATGAAACATTATGGACAAGGCAGCACATAAGGTTACTCAGAATAAAGTGTTTTTGTGTCATTAAAAAAAAAAATCTTCCAATCGCCGAAAACTGACCCTAAAGTAGACTTTAGGGACAAGAAATACGCTATGACTGTAGATATGACTGTAGCTATGACTGTAGTTATGACTGTAGCTATGACTGTAGCTATGACTGTAGCTACGACTGAAGCTATGACTGAAGCTATGACTGTAGTTATGACTGTAGCTATGACTGTAGTTATGACTGAAGTTATGACTGTAGCTATGACTGTAGCTATGACTAAAGCTATGACTGAAGCTATGACTGTAGCTATGACTGTAGTTATGACTGTAGTTATGACTATAGCTATGACTGAAGCTATGACTGTAGTTATGACTGTAGCTATGACTGTAGCTATGACTGTAGCGATGACTGTAGCTATGACTGTAGTTATGACTGTAGCTATGACTATAGTTATGACTGTAGTTATGACTGTAGCTATGACTGTAGCTATGACTGAAGCTATGACTGTAGCTATGACTGTAGCTATGACTGTAGCTATGACTGTAGCTATGACTATAGCTATGACTGTAGCTATGACTGTAGTTATGACTGTAGCTATGACTGTAGCTATGACTAAAGCTAATACTGTAGCTATGACTGTAGCTATGACTGTAGCTATGACTGTAGCTATGACTGTAGCTATGACTGTAGCTATGACTGTAGCTATGACTGTAGATGAATCTACTGACGTGTGTATTTTTGTTTTATTTTTGAGTGGCAGTACAAATGAAATTTCAACTAGATTTCTAGCTTTTAGTTTAGGCGTCAGAGACAACAGGAGAAATTAAGTTTACTATGATCGAAGAAGAAATTATAACACCAGGTCAGAGTCTTAGAAACTAAATTGGTTTTTAACGGATAATGCATCCACTATGATATGATTGGTTTAACAACTCTGTGGTCTTGGTTGAAAGAGTCCTGTCAGTGTGGGTCGCTGAAGTGTATCTACCATTCACTCGTATCGTGCATTCAACATGCACAATATAAACTACTATCAAATATTGTTAGTATAAATTGGCAATGCTTTCATCCTGACTTTTTGGGCTACTTTTTTTTTTCAGTTTCTGGTCAATTTTGTAAATTTTGAGTTGGCAACCATGCTCTAAATGTGTGTTTGAGTATCAAATAGTAATTTTTGTTGTGTGCAACTGCAAGGAATGGCAAGAGTTGTGGGGGAGGGGGGTGGAAGGGGGTGAAAAGTATCTTTTACGATGAAAACTAAAATGATCAAGGTAGAAGACTGTATCTATTGTCTGTGATGTTTCTGATGTTAACTACTAGTGTAGACTGCCTCTTCTACTTCCTTTAGTGTTAATGATCATGTTTTTAAGAAGCCGGCTTTGCTTGTTTCTTTTTAGTTCCCTGATTAACTCATTAACTGATTAACTAAGAAAATTGAAATATTTTGGTCACTTGAAACGTCATGGAAGTTTAGAGAGAACAATAATGGAGGGGTATATGCCTGGGAAGAGAGGAAGAGGAAGGCCAAGGAGAAGATGGGTGCAGGATGTGGCAGATGATCTCCAGATGGGTGTATCAGACGCAGGACATCTTGCTCATGATAGGAAGGTTTTCCGGAGGGTTGTTATGGCAGCGAGGTTCCGCGAGGGACATGCTACTGAATGAATGAATGAATGATTAACTCATATAGAATGTCCAAAGTCTTACTTATACTCGCTTTACTGGACCAAAACTGGTACCCACACACACACACACACGCACACGTATGCACGGGTGCATGCATGCAAACATATTTACATACAAGACTCACTTGAAAAGGAAACGCGTAGCCTCTGTCAGTCATTATTGCTCGGATCTCTTTCCCTTCCTTGGCAGCGTCAATGAGATCTTCCTTCTTGCCAATCGTCGAGCCACCGTCCAGGAAGTGAGCAAACAACGGCCGATCGTTGTACAGGTCATGCTGGAGACAAACGGGCGAACAACATGGGCTGAAAACGTATCGACAAAACCCGACATCTTCTGATGTCTTAAAGCTACTGCCTGTTGTACCACGTTTTTGTGACTTACCTTATCTTGGTCTTATAACATTGTGTGTGTGTGTGTATGTGCGTGCATGCGCGTTCGTGCGTGCATGCGTGTGCGTGTGTGCGTGTGTGTTCGTGCGTGCATGCGTGTGTGCGTGCATAAAAAAATAAGCAAGCGACTCGTTTCCTCTCTAGGAACAGAAAAGTACTTAACGCGCTATCCCTATTTGTGTATAGAATTGCTGGCACTGTGTGGGGTTATGTAGTCTGTGTCACTCTGGTCATTTTTACTTCCAAGTACATTTCCTGATTCCTTTTTCAACTGAGTCAACATAAAGTTCCAGAATTTTTTAAATTTTTTTTAGGTCACGTTTGTGATATTTTGTCCCCCTTATTTTTAACTTGGCCCAGGAGAAAATAATAAGGAAAGTGAAATACAGTTATACCATAGGAGAGATTACAAGAAGACTTGGTTGCACGCTCGTCAAATATACAGCTTGGTAGAATGAACTAGAGACAGTAAAACATACTGAATCACTTTAATGACGAAACTGGGAAACTGGGACTAGTTATCAGTCAAGATAAGAGAGAATACATGGTAATAATGAGACAGAGAAAGGATAAACACTCCAGCCTCATACACATAGATAATATGAATATCAAACGAATGAAAACATAAAAGTATTTGGGTACAAGAGTCAGCCTTTTTTTTTCTTTAAAAATGACATTGGCTCCAAGGTCGATCCAGCCTTAAATGGGTACGAGGAAAAGTCCTGGGAAGCAAAGGTGGCAATCTGCGTGGAATGGAGAGTGAAAAGCAATAATGAAATTCATAATATATTTGAATCACTATTTATCACTAGCGCGAGGGCTATAGATTGAAATGATAGGGGCATAGATAGAGAATGGCTGATGACAAAGAGACAAAACTCTATACAAGGGGATTGAGTGGTCGTAGACCAGGAGGCAGACCCACAAAGACGGGAAAGGACCCTGTTCCACGGCTTCAGGCGTATCGGGTATATAGTGCTTGACCTAGATTTTATTGACCAATCAGCATCACGCCGTTCACCTTTACCTCCCATGACTGTACCCGGTTCCCATTTATTCTTTCTTCTCAAAGGAACGTGTCATACGTTCATAGATTCCTATCTAGAAGCCCCCAAAACGCAAGACGCTCCGATTTTACGTCTCGCTTTACCACCCGTTGGGCCTCTGATACTTACCCCCTCCCCCTTTTTTTTCTCTCAACCCCCCCCCCCTCCCTTTTCCACCTCTTTTTTGACTGAAAGAGAGCCAAGGTCTTTTTAGACAAATAATTTGAGGCTCCGTCACGACCTGAGCCCAGGGTATGGACTTAAAGTAGAAGGCGAAGTGGAGTGGGATCCATCGTGGTGTGGTGATCGGACACTCCCCTGTTTAGCCCAACGGTTTAAGGTTCGATTTCTTTTTCAAAATTTACCTGCCTCTCAGTCTACAACTGGCACCTGGTAATGCCCAGGGAAGTCGAGGAAGTCAGTGTGATGTTGATCATATCACCCGCAAAACGCCGATTAGTCGATAAATATTTGAGCCCAGGATCACATGAGGCGATGAACCACTAACTTAAACAGCAAGTTCTTTAACTATCAGCCTATGTCTTTTTGTTTTTGTTTTATCGTAGAGACTGGATTTAGTAACATTTATTTTTCAACTCAAAATCACTATAATACTTATGTCAAAAGAGAATGTGGGAGTTGCCGTGGTGTAACGGCTAGACACCCGCCTGCGGATAGGAAGGTCGTAGGTTCGCGTCCTGACGGAGCCGGACTTTAAAAAAAAAATGACCTTTACTCCCAGGTCGAAGCAGCCTTGAGTGGGTACCAGGTGCAATCCTGGGAAGTAAAGGCTGCCGGCGTGACGCTGACCACATCACCCACCAAGTGCAGATTTGTCTATCAAATACAGGTCTAGCCCTATATACCCAATCCGTCTGTTGAGGGTTCTGTAATTACTCAACACACACATCATAAATCCTCAAGGTCTGAAGCGATGGTACAGCGCGGGAAGTGACTAGGGGACCTGGCTGACAACACGCACAAGAAAGTCAAGACAGACATACACAATCAGACAGTCACTGGTACAGCAGGAAGTGACTAGATGGCCTGGCTGCGCACAAGAATGGACAGTGACTGTTACTGCTACAGGGAAGTGACTAGGGGACCTGGCTGACAAACGCACAAGAATGTCAAGACGCACAGACTGTTAGAAAGTCAACAGACATGTCAAGACAGACATACACAATCAGAGGAAGTGACTAGGGTCACTGCTGACAACACGCACAGCAAGAAGTGACTAGATGACCTGGCTGACAACACGCACAAGAAAGTCAAGACAGACATACACAATCAGACAGTCACTGGTACAGCGCGGTAAGTGACTAGGGGACCTGGCTGACAACACGCACAAGAATGTCAAGACAGACATACACAATCAGACTGTTACTGCTACAGCAGGAAGTGACTAGATGACCTGGCTGACAACACGCACAAGAATGTCAAGACAGACATACACAATCAGACAGTTACTGCTACAGCAGGAAGTGACTAGATGACCTGGCTGACAACACGCACAAGAATGTCAAGACAGACATACACAATCAGACTGTTACTGCTACATCAGACAGTTACTGCTACAGCAAAGACTATGACCTGGGACGCCTGAAGCTACACAATCAACACTGCACAGCAAGAAACCTGGCTGTCAAGACAGACAGACATACACAATCAGACCGTCACTGCTACCATCGGAGCTGGAATTCTGCTCTAGCAGCTGAAGATAGGGAATGGACGCTTATGGGAACGCCCCGAATGCTGTGATGTCGTTTTTAACTCAGTTCAACTCAACTCTTTCAGCTAAACAAATGAATCGCCTTAGGATCCAACAAAGTAGCCGCCTACCTGTATCTCCTTTGCGTACCAAGCCATGTGCACATGCTGTGTCTCCTCGGACACAAACTCCGGGCTCTCCACGTAGTACTGCGCCACGTGTAGACTACCTGTCGTGCAAGGCAGAAAGTAGCGCCAGTGAGCATCCACCACCGTCTCAAATCCGTTAGTTGCCACGTGAGACAGCATCTGTGTGAGTAAACAACACTTCTGTTATTGTATCCCAGAGCTTCCCAACCCGTGCATTTTCCATGTTCTCAGTGGCTGCTCTAGGAAAACAACAATTTTAAAAAATATAAACATGATAAAGTTAGTTAGTTAGTTAGTTAGTTAGTTGGGTTATCGTCATTGCACTCCGGACATGTCCATAGGTGCTCAGATCCTCCCCTCAGTATGAACCCCAACGTCCGATGGCTAATAATACCAGTTCTATGTTGATTGACAAGTCTTCTGACGTGTCCGGTGTGCGTCTCGTTTTTTGCTGTGCCGATCTTAATTTCCAAGTCTGCCATTCTGGCGAGTGATGTGGATTCACTGCCACCAAAGTCCTCTATCCTTCCCATTTCTCTGAGGGCATTGATAATATCAGCATGATCCATAGGCCGACCGTCGGTAGTGATAGCGGATCCAGCCAACCTGTCAGCTCTTTCATTTCCATCGACGCCTGCGTGTCCCGGAACAAAAATAAAGGTGACTACACGCACAGTGGACTTCTGTAATGATTCAAGCCATTGTCTTCGCACTGAACCTGCCTGAACCCCCCCGGATCATACTCATTGAATCACTGAGTATACATATGCGGGTGTATTTTTGTGTTTCAAGCCAGGCAAACGCTTGCGTCACTGCCATCACCTCCATCGTCATGCTGCTGGTTGTCATGGAGAAGGCACCGTTGGCTTCTTTGACTGTTATGCCCGCTGAGCGTGCTGTAAATGCCCATGCGCTTCTTCTTTGGCGTTGACCTCTGCATTAACAGCAATAGGATTCTCTTCTCTACATCGCCTGTTGAGTGTGACAATACAGGAAAATGTACAAATAAACGCCTGAGGCACAGGTATCCATTCTGCACCAGGTATGATGTCGGTTAGGCTGCATTTTTGCCTAATAACATCTTCTGCCCGACCTAGCCACGATTTTCCCCTCTTCAGTACATGATAAAGTGATAGATTAGAAGAAAAAAAAGAAAAGAAAAAACCCCCCCCCCCCCCCCCCCCCCCCCCTTTTTCAAAAAAAAATATTTTTTTTTTTTAATTTTTAAATTCAAAAGAAAGCAAAGAAATTACGTCCTGAACGAAAATGTGTCAGTGACAACGCGAGTGAGGCTTTCTATTTTCCAAAAGCTAACGTGAAAGGGCTTTATGACTTTAAATGGGAAGTGAACGTGAAAGCAGAATACGTGGTCCTCGCAGATCTGATATCTCCCTGAAAAACATGCTTCTTATAACGTGTTTAAAATTAGTATTACCGTCTTTCTCAACTGGGTTAGTTGCGTATCCTTTACAGGACGTTGCAGAACCAACCCCAGCTGCCCCTGGCTGTTGTGTGGGTTTTTTAGGCAAATTTACGTCCAGTAGTTTGCCATTGCTGTCTAGACGGTCGGCTTTCTTGATACCACTGTCGAAACCAACGCAAGGCGTATGGCCCGAAGCTGGGATCGAACCCGGTATCCAGGCATTAGGAAGCGTTCGCATCGACTTAGCCACAGAGCTGACCTTTCTCAGCTACATGCCCCATTAAGGCAGGATTCTCCCCTTATATAGTATAGGTACACACACACGCGCGCGCGCGCGCACACACACACACACACATACAAATGCACAAGCCACTCAGAAGCAGAAGTTACGGTTTGATTTTCAGCTTTGGAAGAACTTGTATGTGTGGACCAAGGTTTAACAATATCCCGTGTAATAGTGGGAGCTGAGAATCAAATGAACGTTAGGATACATTTCAAATTGTTTAAGATATTGTTTTATTGCATGGACATTGCGTAATTGTTAAAATTCATGTTGAAATTCCCTTACTATGTATCTCACCCCCCTTCTGCTCCGTTAGATTATTTCTAAACATCATTCCCTTGTAAGACACAGGGGCCCAAGGGGCTGCCCCATACAAACTGATTATATAAAATGGCTTCCCATGGCAAACGATTTGGAAACCGCTGCGTTATGCCCTATCTATATTGATAAAAAGGTTAAATTCCGTTGTTTTTATGTAAGACTGTCTGTTTTTGTTTCGTTTCCGGCCCGGAAATGTTTTTAGTTCTGCTGGTGGGCGACCTTTAACTGTTGACCCCAGGCTTTCTGTATGAGGCTATGCCCAAAGGTTTTCACCGATTATTTTAGAAATTTCACATAACGTTGCATTTGAATACGCGCGTGTTTTTATATTAAAGTGTTGCACAAGGCATGAACTGCATAGCTCCAGCGACAATCACATCGGCATCATAGTTTTGTTTTCCGACTATCCGATTTATTTTTTCTATTTTGCCGCGTTCACGAGGCAAATTGTTATTTACGCTGATAGGTGAACTTCGACTGTTGACCTCAGAAATCTGCATGAAATGGGTCGTCATGGTATCGAAGAGTTGTTGACGAAATGTATGGAAATGTTAAAATGTGGGTATTTCTTCTTCTTCGGAGAGAGAGAGAGAGAGAGAGAGAGAGAGAGAGAGAGAGAGAGAGAGAGAGAGAGAGAGAGAGAGAGAGAGAGGAGTAGTCGGTACATTTAGGAGGGGGGGGGGGGGGGGGGGGGGGAGACATAATTTGTTACCTGAGAGAGCTTAAAGTTCATTTTAGTCTGGGTAGACACGGATGCCACGGTCAATTAAAAATCGTCAGTTGATTTCAAAAACTTCGGAGAGGGAGAGAGTAGTATTCGGTTGATTGGGGAGGGGGGGGGGGGGTTATGACAGTCACTGTTAACTGGGAGAGCTTAAAACATGCCTTTAGCATGAATTTAAAGTTATCATTTTTAAAATTCATTTTTATCTAATTATTATAGAAAACGCTTCCTCGGCTATTCTCATTTTTTTTTTTTTTTTTTGCTGTCTTTGTTTTTTTCGAGTTTGTCGGAATTTACAAATAAAGTATCAAGCTTTACTTTCAGCTGTAAAAAAAAAAAAAAAATTAAAAACCATTTAGAATGTAGTACATACAAAAACTAATAATACAATTTAAACCACCACTACTATAAAGACACTTATATGCTGCGTGTTCTAGATTCGGCAAATCAGATTATCTGTTATACCTACGCAGACAACGATTGTGATATTAATCATACTGGACACGTGCGCGCTTTTTTTTTCCCCCAATTCGCCAGACTTAGCCACAGCAAAGCGTGACCGGTATTGCTAGTCCTGAATAGAGATGTTTCAAATGCTCGGCTGTTAAGCCAGAGGTTCTTATTCTGTACAAAGGAAGTCCCCTCTGACCAAAACCAAGCCAAATGGCAGACAGATCTAAACACCTGTCGTTACTACCTATTCAGACCTGCATATCTAAGAAAGTAAACAGTGGTAGAGAAATTACTAGACGCCGGCCAATCGATCCGAACGATTTAGGGTTCGAACTATCAACGAGGATTGTTTTGTTGTTGTTGTTGTAAATTGCATCGGTTCCCAGGCGGACCCAGCATAAACTGGATCCCATGAGATGGCCTGGGATGTTTACTGTACAGTTTCCTACCCTCTCCAAACTTCAGGCTGCTTTGTAATCGTCTGGGACCCCACTATAACCTTACAGTTTAACAGGGTTTGCAGAATTTGTACCTGGAGGATTCTCATCCGGAAAGTGGTTTTTGGGCCATCGGGTGTTTATCACTCAGGATGAGGTCCTAGTGGTGTTAAACTTCACGCATTGCATGGGAAGTAAAGGCGGTGACGCCATCTAAACAGTGTTCATTGGTCTATAAAAAAATATCGGTTTAACACGATATGTCAGGGTTAAAATTCGTGTTAAGCCTAATTTTTTACTATCTAACATGACCTTGGCTCTCAAAACAACCTAGTCTTAAATGGCATCAGGTAAAAATCCTGGGAAGTAAAGGCGGCCGGCGGGATGTTGATTACATCACCTATAGAGGATCGATTGGTCTATAAAAATGAGTCTTGCCACATACGCGCGATGCGTCAGTGTCGTGGAAAGGGACCTTTTACCATTTGCCCAGAAAACGGCATGAAAAGAGTTTTCCCCTTTAGTTTTAAACCCTGGGATGAGCATTTTAGTCTCTTCTTCTTCCTTGCGTTCACCAGGCAGTAAACTTCAGCAGCAAGTTTTGGCTGTTTGTCCACTTCTGGACTTTAGTCGTGTTCATGAACTTTAGTTTTGCGTGCCTGTCGTTTTAAACATCTGGCTTATTTGTATGCAGACCATTGCTTCCTCGTCTATAAGGTAGATGTACTCCGACTTCGATGGAAACCCTCTAATTAGTCGGCTTTTACGACATGCTTGCAATGGATCTGGCACCCACATGCCGATCTCAACAGAACGAGAGAGAGAGACCACCTACCTCGCAACAAATATTATCCCCTCGAATGTTGATGTTGTCGATGTTGGATGAAAAAGTATGTGTGCTGATGGAGGCGGGTTCGATCAGAGCGTCGATCAGCATGACCCGAATCTCTGCTCCGCGGAGAACCGCCTGCTTCAAGTCCTCTTTACTTCCAAATATGGCGAATCCCTTTGCGTCGTTCTCGAAGATGAGAGTCCATGGTCTGTCACAAAGACCTGTAGAACGTGTGTCAAATGTAAAACTCAGTGCTGGATTTGGGTATGGGCTAAATAAATGACAGCTTGGGGCCTCACAATTTGCAGGGGCCTCAAACCAAACCCCCTTTTTTCCTCTATACATATATTTTAAAAATATATATATTGCAAAAGCAAATTTTTTTTTCGATATAAGTTTTAAAAAATGTCCCCAGAAATTTCACGTTGCGATGCATCAAAAGTATGGTAACAGCCTAAAAGTATGTTAACAGCCCAAAAGTATGGTAACAGCCCAAAAGTATGGTAACAGCCCAAAAGTATGTTAACAGCCCAAAAGTATGGTAACAGCCCAAAAGTATGTTAACAGCCCAAAAGTATGTTAACAGCCCAAAAGTCTGGTAACAGCCCAAAAGTATGGTAACAGCCCAAAAGTATGTTAACAGCCCAAAAGTATGTTAACAGCCCAAAGAATGTTAACAGCCCAAAAGTATATTAATTAACAGCCCAAAAGTATGGTAACAGCCCAAAAGTATGGTAATAGCCCAAAAGTATATTAACAGCCCAAAAGCATGTTAGCAGCCCAAAAGTATGTTAACAGCCCAAAAGTATGGTAACAGCCCAAAAGTATGGTCACAGCCCAAAAGTATGGTAACAGACCAAAAGTATGGTAACAGCCCAAAAGTATGGTAACAACCCAAAAGTATGGTAACAGACCAAAAGTATGGTAACAGCCCAAAAGTATGGTAACAACCCAAAAGTATGGTAACAGCCCAAAAGTATGGTCTCTCTTCAGCCCAAAAGCATGGTAACAACTCCAAAAGTATGCTCTTTTTCTCTTGCAAACCTAAAAGTATGGTAACAGCCCAAAAGTATGGTAACAACCATAGATTGTGCAATTTTACTGTTTATACCCACAAGTGCTGCAACCTGGGAGATGAGGTCTCTTGTGACCCGACCCCTAAAACATTTTAAGGTGGGGACGCCCCCCCCTCCCCACCCACCCAGTTTTCTTTATGTCGACGCACCCCTAACTGTTTACACCAACTCCATAAAAAGAGAGCTTTTAATTTCTAACATGTCGTCTGCCCCCCCCCCCCCCCACCCCCCCCACCCCCGCCCTTCTTTCTCGCTCTCTCTCACTCATTCTCTCTTGCTCTCGCTCTCTCTTGCTCTCGCTCTCTCTTGCTCTCGCTCTCTCTTGCTCTCGCTGTCTTTCTCTCTCTCTCTCTTTCTTGCTCTCGCTCTGTCTCTCTTTCTTGCTTTCGCTGCGCTTTGTTATGTTTGTGTATGTGTCTATGTGTGTGTGAGTGTCTGCATGCGTGTCTTATGTGTGTCTGTGTGTGTATGTGTCTGTGTGTATATGTCTGTAAGCGATTGTCTGTGTTTGTGTGTATGTATGCAAGTGTGTCTACGAGTGCATGACTGCCTGTGAGTTTGCGTGTGCGTATCTGTGTATGTGTCTGTGTGTTTGTTTGTGTGTATCTTTGTGTCTGCGTGTGTTAGTATTTTTTGTCTGTGGGTGTGTATCTATGTATGTGTGTTTGTGTGTATGTGTGTGTTTGTGCCTGTGTGTGTGCGTGTATAACTAAGTGTATGTGTCTATATGAGTTTCTGTGTGTTACCATACTCTTGGGCTGTTACCATACTTTTGGGCTGTACCATCTGCGTGAATGCCTGTGTAAATGCGCGTCTCTGTGTGTATATATCTGTGTATGTCTCTGTGTGTATCTGTGTGTATACGTATGTGTGTGTTTGTCTGTGTATATCTCTGTGTGTAGTGTTTCTGGATGTGTCTATATGTGTGTGTATGTGTGTCTGTGTGTGTGCCTGTATATATGTATGTCTGCGTATGTGTTTGCGTTTGTATGTTGGTGAATGGAGTATGTTTATGTGTATGTGAAGGTATGTGGTTTTTGGTTGTGTGTGCCCGTGAGTTTGTGGGTGCTCATTCTTGTGGGTGTGTGTCTTGTGTGTGTGTGTGTGCTCTTTTTTTTCCACCCTGCTTTTGTGCTTTTCTTCTTGTTTTCCTTTCTCTCTTTTTTGATATTTATAATATGCATATTATCATATGAATATAACATGCTTATTGATAAAATACAGCTGCAGTGTGAAAGACGGGTGTTTGGAAGGGCCGAATGTCAGACGGGCCTGTGTGCCCAATTTGTGACCCTTTGAAAATAAAGTTCGTTCGTTCGTTCTCTCTCTCTCTCTCTCTCTCTCTCTCTTGCTCTCGCTCTCTCTCTCTTGCTCTCGCTCTCTCTCTCTTTCTTGCTCTCGCTCTCTCTCTCTCTCGCTCTCTCTCTCGCGCTCTCTCTTGCTCTCGCTCTCTTTCTTGCTCTCGCTCTCTCTTGCTCTCGCTCTCTCTTGCGCTCTCTTGCTCTCGCTCTCTCTTGCTCTCGCTCTCTCTTGCTCTCGCTCTTTCTCTTGCGCTATCTTGCTCTCTCTCTCTCTTGCGCTCTCTTGCTCTCGCTCTCTCCTGCTCTCGCTCTCTCTTGCTCTCTCTTGCTCTCGCTCTCTCTTGCGCTCTCTTGATCTCGCTCTCTCTTGCACTCTCTTGCTCTCGCTCTCTCTTGCTCTTGCTCTCTCTTGCTCTCGCTCTCTCTCTTGCTCTCGCTCTCTCTTGCTCTCTCTCTCGCTCTCTCTTGCTCTCTCTCTCTCTCGCTCTCTCTTGCTCTCACTCTTTCTCGCTCTCTCTCGCTCTCTCTTGCTCTCTCTCTTGCGCTCTCTCTTGCTCTCGCTCTCTTTCTTGCTCTCGCTCTCTCTTGCTCTCTCTCTCTTGCTCTCGCTCTCTCTTGCTCTCGCTCTCTCTTGCTCTCGTTCTCTCTCTTGAGCTCTCTCTTGCTCTCGCTTGCTCTCGCTCTCTTTCTTGCTCTCGCTCTCTCTTGCTCTCGCTCTCTCTTGCGCTCTCTTGCTCTCGCTCTCTCTTGCTCTCACTCTCTCTTGCTCTCTCTCTCTCTCTCTCTCTCTCTCTCTTTCCCATCGCTTCATAAACTCCTCTTTTTTGTTTTCCTCCGTTTGATGCGTTCATTGGTACCACTTAGAACAAGAACTATGTAAAGTATAGTTTAAGTATGAGTGAAGAAGAATGATGAAGAGGCTGCATGTTTTTCATATGTGATCATTATCATCATCACCATCATTATCATCATCGTGTAGCAGGTTCTTTGCAGAAATCGCCCCTACCACAGCCCGCCTGGAGGACACTTGTTGTCTAGCCAGCTCTCCCACCTCATGCACTTGTCTAGCCAGCTCTCCCACCTCATGCACTTGTCTAGCCAGCTCTCCCACCTCTTGCACTTGTCTAGCCAGCTCTCCCACCTCATGCACTTGCCTAGCCAGCTCTCCCACCTCATGCACTTGTCTAGCCAGCTCTCCCACCTCATGCACTTGTCTAGCCAGCTCTCCCACCTCATGCACTTGTCTAGCCAGCTCTCCCACCTCATGCACTTGTCTAGCCAGCTCTCCCACCGCATGCACTTGTCTAGCCAGCTCTCCCACCTCATGCACTTGTCTAGCCAGCTCTCCCACCTCATGCACTTGTCTAGCCTAGTGTATCTTTTATGTCCTTGTCCATGTTTGTGCAGGTCTCTCCTTGCTCCTCTTGCCTGGCATCAGGCCCTCCACAGCAGTTCTTTTAAGTCCACATAGGCGCTTGATGTGGCCAACATATTTTTTAGGTACAAAATAAAAGTGTATAAAGTACCGTGTTGTAAGAGGAACAAACATGAGTACTGAAACACCCCACCCACCAACATTTCCAGACACTCACACACACCCACACATACACGCACGCACAAACACACACATATATATACACATACACGCACACACACAGAGACACACACATGTAACTCACTTATAGAAGAATAGGAGGGAAAACACTGGCCAGCGTGTCCGCCAGCTTGACTACTGGCAACAGAAGTTGCTGCAAGCAGGTAGAATATCAATGTCGCCCTCATATCTCAAACTGCCGTAATCTGTGGAATAAGGAGCTCTGATTTCTGAAACTATTTAACAGATAGAAAGCTGACGTTTCGGCCATGACAACTTTCTATCAAAACGTATAGTTTCATATCTGACCCAGTCTCTTTTTTTAAAGACCAGACAAAGAGAATCCTATCACAGTGCACGAGCTGTGTACCATAACCATTCATGCAATAAATATTTGTGTGTGTGTGGGTAGGTTTCGAAAATGTTTTATTTAATATGGGCAGTGGTTTCTAAAGCCTGCTCTTTACGATTTACAACTGTCGAAAGATTCTTATGGTGCCGAGTATGCTGGTAAACAATGAGAGACAATCTGCCCTGTACGCTGGTAAACAATGAGAGACAATCTGCCCTGCATGCTGGTAAACAATGAGAGACAATTTGCCCTGTATGCTGGTAACAATAAGAGACAATATTCCGTGTATGCTGGTAACAATAAGAGACAATATTCCCTGTATGCTGGTAACAATGAGAGACAATTTGCCCTGTATGCTGGTAACAATAAGAGACAATATTCCCTGTATGCTGGTAACAATGAGAGACAATATTCCCTGTATGCTGGTAACAATGAGAGACAATCTGCCCTGTATGCTGGTAACAATGAGAGACAATCTGCCCTGTATGCTAGTAACAATGAGAGACAATATTCCGTGTATGCTGGTAACAATAAGAGACAATCTGCCCCGCATGCTGGTAAACAATAAGAGACAATCTGCCCTGCAAGCTGGTAAACAATGAGAGACAATTTGCCCTGTATGCTAGTAACAATGAGAGACAATTTGCCCTGTATGCTAGTAACAATGAGAGACAATTTGCCCTGTATGCTAGTAACAATGAGAGACAATTTGCCCTGTATGCTAGTAACAATGAGAGACAATTTGCCTTGTATGCTAGTAACAATGAGAGACAATTTGCCCTGTATGCTGGTAACAATAAGAGACAATATTCCCTGTATGCTGGTAACAATGAGAGACAATTTGCCCTGTATGCTGGTAACAATAAGAGACAATATTCCCTGTATGCTGGTAACAATGAGAGACAATATTCCCTGTATGCTGGTAACAATGAGAGACAATCTGCCCTGTATGCTGGTAACAATGAGAGACAATCTGCCCTGTATGCTAGTAACAATGAGAGACAATATTCCGTGTATGCTGGTAACAATAAGAGACAATCTGCCCCGCATGCTGGTAAACAATAAGAGACAATCTGCCCTGCAAGCTGGTAAACAATGAGAGACAATTTGCCCTGTATGCTAGTAACAATGAGAGACAATTTGCCCTGTATGCTAGTAACAATGAGAGACAATTTGCCCTGTATGCTAGTAACAATGAGAGACAATTTGCCCTGTATGCTAGTAACAATGAGAGACAATTTGCCTTGTATGCTAGTAACAATGAGAGACAATTTGCCCTGTATGCTGGTAACAATGAGAGACAATCTGCCCTGTATGCTGGTAACAATGAGAGACAATATTCCCTGTATGCTGGTAACAATAAGAGACAATCTGCCCAGAATGCTGGTAACAATGAGAGACAATATTCCCTGTATGCTGGTAACAATAAGAGACAATCTGCCCTGCAAGCTGGTAAATAATGAGAGACAATCTGCCCAGTATGCTGGTAACAATGAGAGACAATCTGCCCAGTATGCTGGTAAACAATGAGAGACAATCTGCCCAGTATGCTGGGAAACAATGAGAGACAATCTGCCCAGTATGCTGGTAAACAATGAGAGACAATCTGCCTAGTACGCTGGTAAACAATGAGAGACAATCTGCCTAGTATGCTGGTAAACAATGAGAGACAATCTGCCCAGTATGCTGGTAAACAATGAGAGACAATCTGCCCAGTATGCTGGTAAACAATGAGAGACAATCTGCCCAGTATGCTGGTAAACAATGAGAGACAATCTGCCCAGTATGCTGGTAAACAATGAGAGACAATCTGCCCAGTAAGCTGGTAAACAATGGGAGACAATCTGCCCAGTATGCTGGTAAATAATGAGAGACAATCTCTGGTCAATTACATTCCTTACTACGACTTCCTAAGACTGTAAAAAAAATAGAGTAGTTTAAAACAAAATATATCCGTGTTTCGACATTTAGCCTAACCTGTTTGTTTCTTCCTTTTCTTCGCGTTCACCTTCTGTTTACGCCGGCGGAAAGTTCCGATTGTTTGTCCACCTCTGGACTTTAGTCTTGTTTCAGAGTCTGAGCGTTGCGTGCACATCCGTTTTATAAATCTGACTCACTTGTATGCAGATTGTTGGTTCCTTGCCTCCCGGATAGATGCACTCTGACTTCGAAGAAAGCCAAGGATAGTTGGAGGATTTGATCAACGACTTTGCAATTACACAAAGTAGGAGTAACTTTCTAAACAAAAATAAGGTAAAAGTATACAAAATTAGACACTTTTTCCATATGTCTGTAAGTGTTGTTTAATTTCAATAAGTAAAAGGTTATTTTAAGGTTTTTCATTGTTATATTTGGAATTACACATATATGGATGCACCATTGCAGTCTTAACACATGGACCTGCTGGGAACTTGTCCAGGGCCCCATGCTTTGCTGTGCATATCCAGTGACCATTTACATTTCATTTCTGTGAGTGGTTTTCGTAATGGCTCCAGCACACTGGTTTGCAGTGAGGCCCATAATCCTGTCAAGACGGTCATTTTTTTCGGGGGGGGGAGGGGGGGGGGGGTTGGGGGCACAGTATTTTAAGTGATGGAGCAGCGAAATCTGTTAAGTGCTGAGGGCATTTAAGGGGCATAATCCGGCCGTGCTTACAATGGGGCCTCCATAAAAGCCTGTTGGTTTGTAAGCAGGCAGCTTAGAAAACACGGTTTGAACAATCAAAGGAATACGTAACGTTAGTCTCCCCAGGCCCCGCCCATATACATACTAGCCTACTTCTGACTGATAGTTCCCGAGCTCCGTGACCTTCGCACAAGGTCAGAGGGGTGCTCCGCGATGCCATTGATATCGCGTGTTGTATATTTCATTACGCCAGTGCTTTTAACACTCCAAAAACATGGAGAAACTGGTCATAACACAACTTCCCCTAGAGAGTGCATCAGCCTATGTCACAGGCATTCTTTTTTTTTCGGAATGAAAATTAAATGCAAGACAACGCAAAAAGCAAACAACAGAGCGGGACACACCCGTAGCCTTCAGGAAAGTCGACCAGCCCAACAAACTTGTGAATGAAAAGTGACCCTCTCTATTTGGAGAGACTAACGTGAATCTAACCCCCCCCCCCCCCCCCCCTTTCCGACCCAAAAAAAAAATATAGTTGTAAATTTAAAACCAATATTCTTTGCTTTACATAACCAGCGTAGTCGCTAGTACTCCTTTTAATAGGTGGATCAACCCCATAGCTGTCGGGCAAAACAGTATGTCATCAACCTGGAAATGAACTCCACCCGCTTTACAAGACGATCTGAGCATCTCCCAATCTCCCACCATGTCTGTTTTTTCACCATGTTAACTCTTTTCTGTCACGCAGACATACGCATTTATCATAAGGATCAGAATCATGTGCCCTGATTTTAGCGTAAGCTATCGTCACACGATCACCAGAATCTAGGATCAAGTCAGTGCTCCAGTCTCGTCCTATCCATCTGGCCAAGCCATCCCAGTATTATCTCTTCGCCTGCATTGCTCTTTTTTATCATTCCTGCTAGTTGTTACCTTGTTCTCGAATCCCCTTCTTCTCATAACATGACCGAAAAACACCGATTGTCTACGTCAAACTGTTTCATGTTGGTGACGTATTTTGTTCACAGACATACCATCGCGACACATTAATTCAGTCTACTAACAGACCAAGGCGTTTGCAAAAACATACACGTGTAGATGATTCTTTTTGAAACTCTACGTTCTCGCGAGCAAGCCACAAACCAAGAAACTTTAGACAGTATGATTACCAAGAGAAGATGGAAATGGCTTGGCCACGTTATGAGAATGACTTCTGATATACCTGTCAAAACAGCTCTCACATGGACACCAGAGGGAAAGAGAAAACAGGGGCGCCCAAAAACAACATGGAGACGAACGATGGAAAGTGACCTGAGTGCGGCATCTTTGACATGGAAAACTGCACTGAAGATTTCACAGGACAGGAAAGCATGGAAAGTCCTCTCTGAAGCCTCATGTGCCACTATGCATAACGAGAACTGATGACGATAAACCTTCACACTGCAACCAACACCCTAATGTTTCAGGGCATATTTTTGGGAAACCTCTCGTCTGCGTCTACGTATGCACGACTGAATAAGTTGAACACTTGCCAGGTTCTACAGCTTACATCATCATCGTGTGGAAGCTTTTTTTGCAGAACGTCGCTCTCATCACGGTCTGTCTGAAAGGAACTCGGTCTCTCGCCAGCTCTCCCAACTCGTGTACTTTCATATTTAACAGGTCAGATATATCCTGTGCCCATCTTCGTGTTGGTCGGACCCTGCCTCTCCTTCCTGGTACCATGCCTTCTGCTATTATTTTTCCCAATCCGTCATGGCACTTGATATGACCAAAAATAGTTCAGCTTCTGAGACAAGATGCTGCTTATTAGCCAATATTTCTTGATTTTCAGATCTTTTAAAATGTCAGTATTCCTTTTCTACTTTGCCCTTGGTATTCTGACAAAATTCCTATAGCATTTCAGCTCAAACGCCCATATTTTCACAGCTTACAGTGGTAGATTTTAAACAGTGTGTATATTACGTCATTTTCCCCATGTTCTCATAAATTCTTTCGTTTCATATCTTGCACGTTTATTTTTGTTTCGCTTTGATGTTCGTTCGTCCGTTCATTTGGAAAACACAAAGCGTGACCTGGTTTAACAAGCAATCGCCTTAATGTTTCCCGCTTTTAGTTTCTATACTGTCACAACAGGAAATGGGCGTAATAAATTAAAATTGTGGCTTTTCTAGCAAAGAAGACAGTTTGGGACAATCCCGAACAAATGTA